ACAGTATTTTTACAGTCTTTATTTTACAGTTAAAATACATGTTTATCAAATAAAGTTTAGTATTACAACTAATAGGGGATCCCTTTAAGTCTGATTCATCTGTTATTAATTATGTTTACAAAGGTAATTAACCATTTATTAATGATTAAGTGAGGCTAAATAAGCTGTAGTTATTATAAAGTGTCACAAAATGGAAAATACAGTTTTTCCCCTAAAAAAAGGGAGGATTATTGATCGGCTGTTTACCTTCTGCCTCCTCATCCCCACGTCTCTGCCTCTGTCTGAACACCCTGAATGCTGCTCAGACCACAGCAACAGATTTCTCTTTCAGCCATGTCCAGAGAGCGGCCTTGCCAGGCTCCTGAAAGGCGCATATTTGGGCTTGAGGCCCAGCGCTGAAGTCACAGAGGGGTGGAGGAGAGAAGGGAGGTCAGGGGAGGAGGAGGAGGGGGAGGAGGTCAGAGCCATGTGGCCCATGTTGGTAAACAGTATCCAGCCTTGTCCCGGCGTCGTGGCAGGCAGCGCGCAACGCCGGAGATATCAGGCACCCGGGCCACACACAGACCGCCACAAAAGGTAGACACACAGAGGGACATTTGCATTCATAACCGCACACACACACACACACACACACACACACACTAACACACACAGGCAGGAATACACCGACGACTAACACACAAATAAAAGACCCACTCTCGTGTCCGCCACTCAGCAGCTGCTCCAGTTTCCAAGGCGACGGCCCGAACAATGCGGGAAGAGCCGTGTTGGTTTGAGAGGGAAACGGAGGGATGTGGAAAATGTGTGCGCCTGTGCACTCGAATGTGTGTGGGTGTGAGAGGCCGGGGGGGTGCTGAGACGGAGAGGATTCACAAGATTCTTTGTCAGGATGGGTCTTCGAAAGGAGCAAAACAAACAGAAATACGGAAGCAAACAGGATAGAAGAGGTTTAAAGGTGATACCCTTTGATTTTGTTGGGTTTTTTTTGGCAACAAAACACAAAAAAAACATTGATTTCGTGTCTATTTATTTTCCAAAATGAGGTATTTCAAAGTGCTATGAGTTGCAGCACTAAATGTACATTTAAAAAAAAAGAAAATGAAAGAAACAAACATCTTATATCAGTTTACCCAGTTCTATGCACCCGATAAAATATAAACAAAAGAGAAAATGGAAAAAAAAAAAAACAGTCCAGGTACATGAGGATAAAACACATCTTGCTGTACAAAAACAATTTATTCGAGATAGAGAAGAAAACTGATGAGATAAAGTGATATCTACTGAAAACTCATTTTCATACGAAAATATAAGTATTAAATTTAGTATGTATAAAGTTCACACTAAAAGCAAAAAAAGGGTGTGGAATTAGTAATATGGTACAAAAAGAGAAAGAAGATAAAACAATATGCTGTTATATTACAAAGTATTACGACGCTCATAAACTGAGGCCTTACAGTACTTTTTAAGAAAAAAACAAACGTATATAAACTTCCAGTTGGCAGCTTCCTGACTTGTATATAAAAAATGACAAAGTTATAAAAAACAAGGCAGATCTGAGTGTATTTTGTCTGTACACTATTGTTATATACAAAAGTGTCGCCCAGCAAGGTGCACAATTATACATCCACTGACTTGGTTTGAGCACAAGTGTGAGAGGAAAGTGAACCTGTAGTGGCTTTGTTTACATGACCCATAGCGCCTCAGTCGTCAGTCTTTATTTCTTTATTTATTTTTTTTGTCGGTTTTGCAGTGGTGAAGGCAAAGTGTGCACTGCTACGTTCACTGCACGTGAACGCTGAAGCAAAGTGCCCTCGAACACCCGTCCCTGTGTGGAACCACGTGATTCCAGGCTGGTGTCACAGTGAGCTCAAAACAAAAAGAAAATAGAAATGATACAAAACCAGAGGAAGTGAAGACTAAAAAAACAAAACAAAAAAAAAGTCCCCCGTCTCCCTCCTCGTTCTTTTCTCTTTTTCCTCAATTGTGACTGGATTGAAAAAGTAAAACCCTAAACATTCTTAACGTCAACAAATGTGCAAAAAAAGTGGCGGCAGTGAAAGTCCGAGCATCTCTCCAGCAACCTCCTCCTCCTCCGCCCCCTAAAACTGTCCTCCTCGCCTCCAGGTGTGAAGCCCCTGCACACGTACGACAGTTACTCGGGCCCATGTGCCCGTGCTGAAGTGCATAGACCTGCGTGTGCAGCTGCCTGAGTCTCGGGGCGAGTCGAGGCAGAGGATTTCAGGTCGGCGGGGGGGGGGTCATCCGGGGCATGTGTGAAGTTTCTGTTCGTAGCYGTCGCCCGTTAGCGAGTCCTAGCCTGCTCCAGCCTGCGCATCAGCTGCTGCCGGCGCACCTGCAGCCGCTCCTTCTCCTGCTGCAGCCGCATCTCCTCGCTCTCCAGCGAGCTCACGTACTCCGTGGCCTTCTTCAGGATCAGCACCTTGGCCGCCTTCTCGTTGTGCGCCAGCTCGGGCACGTGGTCGCGCAGCGTCAGGAAGCTGGAGCGCAGGTCGTTGCGCCGCTGCCGCTCCAGGATGTTGTGGTTGCGCCGGCGCTCGCTGTCCTCCGAGTCGGAGCCGCCGCGCGGGCTGCAGTCGCCGCCGGTGCTGCGCTTGCCGCGCGCCGCCGCCGCCGAGCRGCAGGACGAGGAGGAGGCGGATCTGGCGGGAGGGCGCGGCGCGTCGGACGCCTTCTGCTTCTTCGGCGGCGGGATGGGGTCGTCGTCGGAGGCGTACGGCGAGGGCGCCGCGTAGTTGTGTTGCTGCTGGTGGACCGAGCTCCTCTTCAAGATGAGCTCCTGAGGACCGCGGAGAAACCGGCTCGTCGCTCCGGACCCCGACACGCTTCCTTTCGCCTCTTGGCTCTTCGGATGTACGGAGAGGGCACCGGAGGACAGGGGGAACGCTTTGCGCCTTTTCTCTACCGTCACCACATCGATCTCTTCCTCCTCCTCTTCCTCCTCCTCTTCCTCCTCCTCCTCCTCTTCCTCCTCCTCTTCCTCATCATCCTCATCTTCCTCTTCGTCGTCGTCGTCGTCCTCTGTGAAAACAAAGCGACCCAATCAGTGCGACATGTCAAATATTGTCCCCGCCTCCTGTAGGTGAGCGGACAGGTATGTGTCAGTCACTTTAAACTAATCTACTCTGCAGGCGTTGGCATGTTTATTCTCTCTGAGCACACAGGCTGGATTTATCCCCCCTTTTTTTAGACGTCCTCCCTTACAGGGATCCCCGATTAGTTGTAACATTAGACTTTATATGATAAACATATATTTTAACTGTAAAATTAAGGCTGTAAAAATACTGTAGCATGTATAAAATTTTTAAACCAAAAGTTTAAAAATATATTACACGAATGGAGCCATTTTATTTACACGCAAAGCATTCTGGGTAAATGATGACGTGGATAGGTCCTCGGTGCGAGGCTGCTAGCGAGCTATATCCACCCTGAAGGTTAATCTTGGACAATATCTGATGATCGACTCTTTTAAATGAAACCAGAGAGCGTTGACAGAGAAGAGAAGGTAGAAAAGACTCAGCCTGTAGCTAAAGGCTAAAACAAGCGCAACACCAGCTAAAGGCTAAAACAAGCGCAACACCAGCTAAAGGCTAAAAACAAACACAACACC